TTTACTATTACTGTTAATCCTACTAATGGGTATAGTATGTATGTTCTATCCATTGGGTTTGTCGTACCATCTAACATGTCTTGCCATCACTATTCCATCTGTCATTTATGTTCCCAAGTTATCTGTCAATTTACTATCTATCAGTCAACTTGATGCTTTCGGTTTTGATGTTATCATTTCTTCTTCTGTTTGTTATGTGCAGGATCGGATGTCTAAGCAGTATATTGGGACCGGTCATAAAGTTAAGAGACCTTTATGTGATGGAAAGCTTGCATCTCCCTCTGTACACCTCTCCGACTGCTCTTTCATACTTTTAGTTAGATTCTTAGTTGAATAAGTTTTATTTGTGACATTTTAGATTCGGTCATTTATTTGTTGACTGCTTAAGGTATTTAAATCAATCAGGATTGTTGAACAAGGTTTCCCTTAATCAAATTAATGAATGTTGGGGGGTGTAAACTCGTTAAAAAGACGACATTACCTTTTAATAAGAATACTTCTATTTCTAATACACCACTTTCTTTTGTCTATAATATGATGTTTGGGACCCTTCTCCCGTTCTCACCAAAGAGGGTTGTGCATACTATGCGTCATTTGTTGATGATTGCACCCGTTACACTTGGGTTTATCTTATGACTCATAAGTCTGACTTCTATCAGATATAATGTAATTTTCAGTCTATGATCACTAACCAGTTTGGGTTTACTATTAAAATGTTGTAGTCTGACATAGGTGGGGACTATGAAGCACCGACACGTTCCCAGGGCCTGCGTACGAGTGTCAGACACGTGTCGGACACGGACACACGTCGGACACGCGGTGGACATGTGACCGACACTCTCTCTAACGTGTCCTCTTTTTTTTTTTTTTTAATTTTTGCAGTCGGAAACGCCATGGACACGTTGTGACACTTTCCGGACACGCCTAAGGTGGATCGAAGCCCTAACTGTTGGAGAGAGAGAGAGAGAGAGGAGAGGAGAGGAGACAGAGAAAAAGATCAAGAGAGGAGAGAAGACAAAGATCGAGGGAGGAGAGGAGAGGAGATAGAGAAAGAGAAAGAGACAGAGACAGAGAAAGAGATCGAGGGAGGAGAGGAGAGGAGCCCTAACCTGTTCAAATCAATTGAAGAAGCTAAGGTATTCTTCGTCTACTATCTTCCTTCTTCGCCTCGTCCTCTTCGTCTTCTGCCTCCATCTTCTTCTCCTCCCTTCTCTTCGGCTTCAACTTCTCCTGTTTTCTCTCTCTCTGATTTCTGTTTCCCCCCTTTTGCTGATTCACTTTCCCCTCTTTTTTATTTCACCGATTTCTCTCTTTTTTTTTCTTCTTTTTTTTTATCCTTAGTTTTGTTAAACCTAAAATTCATAAAACAAATTATTTTTATTTAAAAAAACTCATTTTTTATTAAAAAATTTTTAAAAATATGTTTATTAATTTTATTATTATTGTAATTGTATAAAAATTAATGATTTTCTTTTTATTTTAGATATATAATAAATAAATAAAATTATATATATTAAACGTATCCCCAGCGTGTCATGTCCCCTATTTTTTTTTAAATTTGCGTGTCCCCGTATCCGTGTCGTATCTGTATCGTATCTCGTGTTCGTGTCCGTGTCCGTGCTTCATAGGGTGGGAAATACTTTAAAACTAAGTTTTATGAGTATTAAACTAATTTGGGTATCATTCGCCAAACCTCCTGTTTTGATACACCCGCCTAGAATGGCAAGGTTGAGCGTAAACATTGTCACTTATTTGAGATTGCTCGGTCTTTGCTTCTCTCTTCTCTGTTTTGGCCTCATTCTGGGGTGAGGCAATTCTTCTTCTGTTTTTCTTCTCAACCGTATGCCCACTCCCCTTCTCTCTAGTCGCCCTTTTCTCTAATCATTCTCCTTATGAGGTTCTGTTCTCCCAAAACCCCAATTACTTCCTCCTTTATGCCTTTGGGTCAGCCTGTTTGGTCCTTCTTTCCCGTAAAGATAGGACCAAACTTAATGCTCTTTCTGTCCCGTTGCCTTTATGTCTCGATGTTGCCTTTCTCGAACGTTTGTCCTACTTTTAGCTTCCTCCTATCACTGCCCCTATTTCTAAAGAGGATTTGGTTCACATTGATCCATTTCCTTATGAGGTTCCGCTGAACGAGTACATCTCTACTGTCCCTCATGAGCTTGTTCCTTCTCCTTCTCCTTCTCTCTCTACTGTTAGTTTATTCTCATCGCAAGGCTTTTCCCCCACTAATTGTTTCCGCCCCTGCTGCTAATCCTCTTGCTTCTGATTACACTGATCCTGATGACTGTCGGTATCTCCTTCATTAATGTAAGGCTGTAGTAAAGCTTGATTTTTCTAATACATGTTTTTTTCCTTCATAGTGCACCTTTTTTTCTGCTATTCATTCCTTTCAGAATACCAATCTTATAAAGAGACATGTCAGGATCCTAATTAGGTACGAGCTATGGAGGATTAGTTGTCTACATTGCAGAAGACTACTACTTGGAAACTGGTTTCTTTACCTGTTGGCAAGAATCTAGTTTGTTGCAAAAGTCAAGACGCATACTGATGTTTCTCTCGATCACTAGGTTTCTCACAGGAATATGGTCTTGATTACGAGGAGACTTTTGTCCCCATCACTAAGATAAGTAATGTTCGAACTTTGATTTTGTTGCTGCTGTCCGTCATTGGCCTCTCTATCAAATGGATATTAAGAATACTTTTTTTAATAGCCATCTCACTGAAGAGGTTTACATGCATCCTCCCCCTGGCCTTTCTTATTCCTTTGGACAAATTTGTCGTCTTCAACGTGCTTTTTCAGTTTGAAGCAATCTCTTCGTACTTGGCATGATCACTTTTAGACGATTATTACTCAACTTGGGTTTCATCCTTGTGTCCAGGATTCTGGTTTATTTGTTCTCCACACCTTTGCTGGGTTTGTTGCCCTGTTATTTTATGTTGGTGATATGATCATCACTGGCTCTAACTCTTCTGTTATCTCTGAGGTTAAAAAACATCTCTTCTGCACCTTTAAAATGAAGAATCTGGGTCTTTTGCGGTATTTTCTCAGTATTGAGGTAGTTTCTTCTCCTAAGAGGTATTTTCTGTCTCGAGTCAAATATGCTAATGAAGTTATTCACCATGCTAGTCTCACTGATACTAGACCACCGAGTCCGAAGAAGAAGTGGATGATAAGAGTAAACCTTGAAAGATAATACCTCTGAGATAGTAGAGAATCCAAACCAAGACTGCCCAATGTGTGGAACAAGGAGCAGAGACAATTGGCTGACCATATGAACAGTATAAGCAAGATCAGGACGAGTGACAATCAGATAGACCAAACAACCAACAAGCTTGTGATATGTGGTAGGATCATCCAGTGGGGCTACCTCAATATCGATTGAGCTTAATGTGGTACGATCATCCAATCATCCACTGCTAAGATTGTCTTGCTTCCTTGTCTCTTGTCTGATTTAGGTGTTACTCAATCATCTCCTACATCTCTCTACTGTGACAATCGTAGCGTTATTCAGATTGCCCATAACACTATTTTTTATGAGCACACAAAGCACATTGAGATTGATTGTTACTTCATCTGCCAGCATTTGCAATCTAGCTCTATTTTGCTTCCGTTCATTCCGTCTGCTTTACAACTTGTTGATTTCTTTACAAAGACTCATACTACTACTCGATTTCAGTTTCTACTTGACAAACTCCCTGTGTTTTTTGTTAAAACACCTTCAGTTTGAGTGAGGGTGTGAGAATATTAGATTTATTCTTATTTCCTTTTTTAGTCTTAGGTCTAGAACTATTATATAAATCAGATGTACTCTTTGCATTTTACACAATTGAATATACTAGTTTCTCATAAAACTTGCAATTGCAATTTTATTGAATGGGAAAAGATCCAAAACTTACAAAAATCCAATCGATGTGGGAATGGATGCCTCACAGAACATGATCTTATCTGATGTGGGAACTGGAAAATACAAATTAATTTAAGAACATGTGCACCATCATGTTTTGGAATCTCACCGACAGTACTTCAAATGAACAAAACCAAGTTTTATCATTTTATTTTACATGTGAACAAAGATAATATATATTCCACATTACCAACTTTCCAATATGAATAAACAACCTCAGCAAAATCAAATTGTTCTTACAAGGTGAGGTATTTTTTTTTAGTCTGAATCACCTAATGTTCTCTACAATCTACACATTTGATTGTTTTGTGCTTGATGAGTGCGGATGAGAGAATGCCGTGTTTGAATAATATGTTTAATATGTTAATAAAAAACAATTAAAAGAAATATTTAAGAAAATCTTGGTTTGGTAATTTTATAATTTTTCTTTACATATAATGTTAAATATATTTATAATAAATATGACATCGTGATTTGATTCCGATTCACCCGATGGTTGAACTAGTAACCCTTGACCCAGTCCCTTTTCTGGTTTGCTCAATGATACAGGTTGCAAAACATTAAACACTTTGAAGCATACACATACTATCATAAAAAAATATTGACAGATTCCTTACTGAAAAATGAGAAGAACAGCGTAGAGTATGACAATTTATATTGTTTGTTCCTTAAACCCAGAATCCTTTTTTTCTTTCCACACAAACACATGCGCGCACGCACACCAAAAAAAGAAAAGAAAAAGCAGAGCCAAATTTTGCATGTTTTCTGTAATATATACTAAATAGTAAATGGATAATACCTGAATGCTTTCTGGTTTGCACAATGGTACAGGTTTCAAAACATTAAACACTTTGAAGCATACACATACTATCATAAGAAAATATTGACAGATTCCTAACTGAAAAATGAGAACATGGTACAGTATGACAATTTATATTGTTTGTTCCTTAAACCCAGAATCCTTTTTTTCTTTCTGACACACACACATGCGCACGACCGCACCAAAAAAAAGAAAAAAGAAAAGAAAAAGAGAAGAGCTGTATTTTGCATGCTTTCTGTAATATATACTAAATAGAAAATGGATAATACCTGAATGCTTTCCTTGTGATGTGGACATACAGAATAGACAGGTGCTTCATGACCCTTGAAAGTATACTGCTTATTCCCTGTAACTGCGTCCCACACCTGTAGAAATTTAAGCCTTTATGACCAAAGTCCAACCCTCAGCATTGCTTGAAGCTGTGATATAGAAAACAAACCTTAATGAGCCGATCCTCCCCACACGTGACAATAGAAAGTTGTTTGTTTGGATAAGAGAAAGCAAGATCATTAACACTACCAGCATGAGCATCAATCTGGATAACCAAAACAAAGTATTTAATTAAAAAGCTATGTTTGAAATATGTATGTGAAAAGATTGAAAGCAAGCTCTGAACATCAGAGATAATGACAAAAGAAAATAAATAAATAAAAGGAGAAAGAAAATCAATGGACTCCCATCCCATGTTATTGATTGATGGCACAAACCTCTAGGTGGTTTCGTACATCATCTCCACCATGGTAGGAATATATTTGCACGATGTGCTTGGAGTATGCAACACCTGAAGTAAGGGATATTAGAACTAACAGCCTTCCAACTTCATTCTCAGCATTTTAGTTGCACTATATCGTCAAGTATCAACATGCAGAAAAAGAACAATAATGAACAGTTTAAAGCACAAAAAAATTCTTTCAACATACCAAACAAGGTACCATCAGGACTCCAAATCACACGGTTGATTGATGCAGTATAATCATTGGCCATAGATGCCTGACAAAATCACAAATGATATTTGGTGACTCTAAGGAGGAATCCAGCATATACTTGTGTTTACTCAAGTTACTTGTGAGCTATAGGCTGCCAAACCTGCAAAGGCATTGAGCATGTTGCAAGGTCCCAAACCTTGAAATTCCTAGCAGCAAGCCTCTCCCGACTACCTAGCTCCCATACCATGATCTCTCCCATGTTTGTTCCAACTACAATTAATTATCAAAGATACAATACACCGGAACAAAACCAATCAACAAGCAAGCAAATATCCAGCATCCATAAAGCTAATCAACCATAAAAACAAGAAGTTGAGGACAAAAGGAACTAACCAAGTAATAGAATTTGTTGAACTGGATGGAAATCCATACTCTTTACAGCTGAACCTTGATTTAAAGTCATAACAACAGCCTTGGGCAAATCATCAGAAGAGTATGAACTCTGACCATGGGTCTGAGCAGTGTATCCAACAGGCAGAATATTAATAGGCAGATTATTGACCTGTAAATGAAATTGTGGAAATGTAGAAGCAATTAAACTCAACTTCCAACATGAAAACATACATTAAACTAGAGGCTCTACGTAAGTTAGCCTTCAAAATGCATTTAAGGCTCATTTTGCTCCTCTTCAAACAGTTAACATGCACAGAATTCAAAAGTTGAATAAGCAAACACAAAGCACGAGGATATGCACAAACCCACACAGCTAGTTAGATTGCCTTCCTCATATCAAACGAGCAAATATTGACCAAATATAAAAGCTTCACCTAGGCATGTATGAGATAAGGCATCATACATAGAGACTTTTCTCAAAAATACATTCAGCTGACAGCAGCTAAAATCAATTAAAAATACAAATTCATTATGCACGTCACTTTGTTTCTATTTTTAAGCTTCAGTCAAATGCATTCAATATTTTCTTTTCATTTCTTGTATCACCCTGATTCTCTCATTTAGTTGCATATATTTGTAAAGAGAAATGTTAGAGATCATGAAAATTTTGTCATGAAAAGGATCATGAAAAATTTGTGATCCTTAGATTATCTTGATTAGTGTGTGGTGTTTTATTGTAAGTGTAATCCAAAGGTCACAAATCTTTCATGACCATTTTCATGAAAGACTTTTCATGATACCTAGCATTGCTGATTTGTAAACTTCTAGGGTTGAAAACTCACCGAAGATCAAGGACAATTTAAGAAAAAAAAGTACACAGGAAATGGCTGCTATTTTGAGAAATTGTTCAACTATGCAATATCTCAAACTCATTTTTCTTTGTTATTAAATAAATACCTTCTTGTTTCCAAAAGCACTAGTTGCTTCAATTCAACTAGTAAAGAGATTCCACATTACTAAAACCGAAACTCCATTATAAAAATGATTCCAAATTCGTAACACCCATTTTAGAACCATTACTCCATTGCACAGTAGCACTCTTAACACATTTGAACCACATGAATTACAGATGCAAGAATACAGACACACGCCACAGATACGACACTAACATGCTGACATGACAATTTTTTATTTATTTTTTTAAAATGAAGGACATGACACGTGAGGACATAAGCAAAATATATAGTTTATATATTTATTATAGACATATATCATATATATGAACAGCATTAAACTCAGAACCAAACTGGGTGCTCCTTTTTTTATGTCACCTATATGAACATTTCACTTTGGGACAATAAAAAAATAAACAAATAAACAAATTTAAAATTTAAAAAAAACAAAAACAAAAACAAAAACAAAAACAAAAGCAAAACAAAACAAAACAAAACAAAAACAACAACATAACCCTAATTCATAAAGTTTAAAGAATTACCCAATTGGGACTAGCCCAGTTGGCCGAAGCCCTTACACCTCACTAGAAGGTCAAGGGTTGGACTCCCCATTCCTCATGCTATGGCCTCCAATGTATCAAAAAAAAAAAGTTTGAAGGATGAGGGATTAATAGGCATAAATTTACATCGTTTTATTTTTTATTTTTCACTATTGCGTTATTTTGTTCAAACTTATAATGTGGTTTCGTAAGCAATGAACATGTGTGTCCAATGTGTGTCTGGGGTCTAAATTTATTATTGTTTAAATAATGATTTGTGACAAGTGTCAACATGTGTTTGGAAGTGTTCGATAAGTGTTGGTGCCCAACACGGGCACAACACCTTAAAACTGTTCATGTTTCTTAGGTTTTCCCATTGTGCCACACTTGATGACATAGGGCATCCTGTACTAGATGCTGCATTAAAGGTTCCAGTCATATACATACTTAAAAAATAAAATAAAATAAACTCCCAATTCAGAGAAATTTCAAGCAATTCCATGAATCATGCGTTCCAACTACAATTAATTATCAAAGATACAATACACCCAAATCAAACCATATAAGAGCTTCAAAAAAATTAGTACAAATCTTTCAACCATGTTAAAAAGAAATATATATATATATGTATATGTATATATAGAAATTAAATAAGCAAAGCTCTAACTTTTGGTGATAAAACCCCTAAGTCTAGTAATACAGCTTAGACTTCCACCAAGTCCGTGGGAAATACAGAGGAATTGTTGTGCAGTACTTCTTCTGACATTCCAAAAGGCCTCAGTCTCTTCAACACATGTTCAGAATCTGCTGTCTGATAGTCCACAGCTGCATTATTTGTAGGAGGAGTCCTGGGGCGCTTTAGAATAGCGGCTACAAATGAAAAAAAAAAATACACATGGTAAAAGGCCTGAGCAATGAGAAAGCTTAGGTTGATTGGATGAGAGAGAGTTAAATCATGGAAAATTCTTCTTAAAAAATAAAACAATTAGAGATCAGTTTAATAATTTGGTTCAATGACACAAGCTGGAATACATCTTCTCACTAAGATCTTTGTACATTTATAAATGTCTTCAGTATATGCCAACAAATTATACAATCATTAACCACTAAGTAGTAAGTAGGAAAGGATTTATAGAATACTTAAAATACCAGCATTATTTGGTGCATTGAAACCAATGGGCCCAGCAGAAGTAGAGGGGTGAGGAACTGGAGATGGATTAGCCATCCATCCTGCAAGAGATGTTGGCAGAGAAGCTGGTGCAGCCTGGAATGGCTTTAAAAACAGAAAAGAAAAACACGCACAAAACAAGTCAAACTTCTAGGAATGAAAATTTTAAAACAGCCAATGAACTGGAATGGATCCTTTGTACTTTCACTTACACCATGAGCACCCAGGGGTGGAAAAACCCCAGCTTTAGGAACACCACCCATTAGTGGATTGGTTACAGGGGAAGGGGCACGAGCACCATTTGGCTGTGACTGTCCACAAGAATGGTCTACAAACAGGGTTTTTATGTCAGGGTTAGGCTTTGGATTCTTGCAAAGCTGGTGCTGCCAATTCAAGCTGCAACACAACATATTGGAACGTCAACCAAAGATAACTATCTTAACTGGAAGAAAAACTCAACTCTGCAAACACAAAAAAATTGACCTTTGGTTAATTAGCGTCCGCAGTCTCGAATTCTTCAAGTTAGGAAAAGCTAGCTTATCACGAAACAAAGGGTTTGCTTCAATCAGCTTTTTAAGTTCAGCAAGCATTATACCCCTAGCAGACTTGGTATCTCCATATTTCGATAGCTGCTCATTATCTCTGTAGTTCAGCATATTGTTGTTAGAAACCATAAACAATACATCAAAAGTTCGATAAATGAGATATGTAACATCATGGAACCAACAAATACAATTCTTCAAGCCTAGTTTTTCGATACCTAAAGTTCTCCAATGTTAAAAGCTGTGTTATTTCTTTAAAGAGATCCTCATTAAAAGCACAAAAAACTTTCAAGTCCTTCACCAGAATATCCACAGCTTTAGCACGATCCTTACTATAATTAAACAACAAAAAAAATAGCGAAGTATTAAGAAATGTTCAAGTCAAAACAAGCTAAAAAACAATTAAAATAGAAACAAAGCTAACAAAGACCCGCAACACAGAGATGCCTTCAGTAACATCAGTTTACCACCTACCTGTCTAGGGCTTCTAGGTACTTTTGCTTTCGGATCTCAAAGAAGATCTTCATGGAATATCTGTTATCATCAACCTTTGTGAATCCAGACAAATACTTCTCCACCTCATCCCAATCCCCATTTGTCACCATTTCCTCAAAATATCTCATGTTAAAGAAAAACCCTGACTGTTGCTCCAGCCTCCAACATACAAATAAAAATGAAAAAACATAATAAATTTTAGCTCAATCACACCAAAAAAAAAAAAAAGATATAATATATAGATATATATATACTCCATACCTACATACATCTATGTAGTAATCTCCGTTTGGTTGTTCTGAAAATGGAGGACAGTAAGGACACTAATCTATAAGTCTTGACATCTCGGGTTTTGGTTTCCAGGAAATGGATAACCATCTAAGCTAAAACAAACTCTAGGTTCCAGTTTGATTGATTAAAAAAATAATGAAAAGTCAAAATTTCCATTTCCTGAAGTTTTATATATCTTCCCCTAGCCATCATTTTCTTAGCAAACAAACAGAATGAGAGAAATGGCACAAAAAAATATTGAAAAATACGAAATAAAAGACAATTAAGCATAATCTATAAATCTTGGCATCTTGGATTTTGGTTTCCATGAAATGGATAACCATTTAAGCTAAAACAGCTTCTCTAGGTTCACCTAAGCTAGGTTCAAGTCTAATCTATTTATTAAAATAAATAATTAAAAGTCAACTTTCCTGAATTTTTTTCTTTCTTCCCTTTTTCCATCATTTTCTTACCAAACAAACATAAACGGAAACAGCACCAAAAAAAAGTATTGAAAAACTCGAAATAAGAGACAAATTGAGCCTTACTTGTGAACACTGTCCTTAAATTTCTCTTCATCGAGAAATTGAAGAATAAGAAAGACAAGTTCTCTGCTGAGAGACGACATGATTGCCTTCAAACCTGCAACAAAATAACATGAAAATAACCAAATCTAAGCCCACACAGGTCGACATCAACAGAACAAAATGAACAAACTTCAACAACAAACAATTCACAAGTTACAAACAAGAACACATCAAACAACACAGTTCTCACTCCAATTATTCAGTCCACAAAAACAAATCAAATGCATATACATAGATTGATATACATAGATATATAGACATGCTTGGATATAAAAATTGAGGAGAGAGAGAGAGCTCGTACCTTTGATTGAATGAGAGAGAAATGAACAGATCGGAGTTTTTTAACAGATCGGAGTTTTTTTTTTTTTCTCCCTTTTTGCAGAAAACGAGAACGCAGATAGCGAGAGGTCCTTTTTACTAGTCTCTCTCTCTCTCTAGGATTTGAAGGAGAGAGAAAGAAGAAGAGAGAGATGTGAAGCCAAGAACAAAGGGTTTAAGATAAAATAAAATAGTTATGGTTAAGATTTGAGATTTAAGTTTTAATGTCATAAGTTTAATGTTTTTGTCTCTGAGTGAAGTACAGTCGGTTAGGAAATTGGATCTCAAATTATCTAAAATAGTTCGAAGCGAGTCTTTGGATGGATTTGATTTGGGGTCTTTTAGGAAGTGGGTTATAATCTACTTTTTAGATTATAACTCACTTTCTTTTCTCATAAAAAACTGATTATAACTATTTTTCTAAAATAATTTGTCTTTTGAAATAAAATTTTAAAAGAAATTTAAGAAGGTTAGAAATTTTTTTGATTTGTTTAATTATTATTTTGAAAATAATTTTAAAATTCAGGAGTTTGAAATAGTGTAGGTTTTTTTTGTTATAATTAAGTAAGACATGTGTAAAAGAAAAAATGATTGAGAATGAGAAATAAAAAAAATAATTAATTAGGCTTCGTTTAGCAAGTGATGATTTTAATCAAAAATTCAAAAAGTCACTAAAAAACTAAAAATTCAATAACTTATATCAAAAAATTAAAAATTCATTTTTTTTCTTTACTTTTTACACATATTTTCGTAAAAATTAAAAAAACATTTCAAACATACTAATTTTTTTATATCATAGTTTAGCTAAAAACTTAAAAAAATTACTAAAAAAATCTGTTCTTAAACGAAATTTTAATGAATAATAGAGAAAAATATTTTTTTAATTTTTTTTAAAAAAATTGTAAGGAAACATATTTTTAAAAAAAATTTGCCAAAAATATGTTTTAAAATACAAACTAAACTCGCGGTTTAAAAAATGATAAAATCATATGCGCGTCCTTAAAAATTTGAGGGTTGTGATTGAGGGTAGTGATAGGACACTCTACTTATAAAATGATACGCACGTTGGAAAGTTGCAGTATGATAAGCCCGTGTGCTTATAGACGTTTAAAGGACGTCTAGTAATATGTATTTATATTCGGCTGCTTTTGCGGGGTTTACGAGGTAATGTTAAAATGTTATGGTGTGGTCACCCATGTGGAATAGTTGTAGACCCTCAGCTTATTTTTTTAGAAAATTATCCTATTGCTTATTTTAAAAAGTAGGTTAAAACTTAATTTGTTTATTTTTATAAAAAAATAAAAAATTAGTATAACTTAAAAAACTCAAGAAGTCAATAAAGTGATTTTAGCTTAAAAGCCATCTTTTTTATTTTTTTTATTTTTTTTTAAGTATAAAAAGTAAAGAAGTAATGTAACCCAAAAATGTAAAAAAAATAATAAACTAATTTTTATCCTAATTGTCAAAAGAGGCCTACATATTTCATATTGGTGAAAAAAATTATAATTTTAATTATTAATTAATAATTATTTTTTAAGTTATATCTGATATGATTTTTTTTTTCGATTCACACACTTCACACCGAAAAAGTAATGAATTTTTTTTTTTATTCTAATATAGTATTTTGTTGATTGAAATGAAACGGAATTCAAAATTCAGTTTTATGTTTGATTTATTAGAAATAAAAATGTTTGAGATTTACAACAAAAAAAAAAAACAACTAACTCTAAACTTTTAGCGACATTTTTAGAAAAGAGTCATTAATTATTAATTTTAAGTCTTTTTAATCTATATAAACGTTTATGCAACTTAATGGTACACATGTCCTTATAACAAAATTTGTAAATGACTGAGAAGTCCTATTAGGGAGATTGCAACACAAGGCATCTTGACTTTTTGGTGCACCAAAAAGT